ACACATACACAAACACACACAAACGCTCGCGCGGGAGCGAACCCGCTGTTTTTTTTTTTTTTTACTTTGTTTTTTCTTTTTTGATTGATTGATTGATTGATTGATTGATTGATTCGCGAGGAAGGGGTCGCCCTTCCTCCCCCCACATACACACACACACAAACGAAAAAATAAAAATTTCCCTTTTTTTATTAACTTTCTTTTGATCAAAATACATGTTTTTTGGTTTTTTATTTTTTAAAAATAAGAAAACACTTTAAAATACAAAAACAAAAATACCGCTTTGTAGGTCTCTTCAAACCCTACAACCCCATATATATATATATATTTTTGGCCTATTATTTTTTTTTTTTTAAATGTCTGAAATTCTTGGTCGCACCCAACCGCAAGTCCGACCTCTGTAGTTGGGATCCCGACCGCTGGCCGAGTTGGACCCTGCGGTCATGACCGCGGGGGATACATAGCACAGAAGTACGTCGCTGTTCCAATTTATTTTAGCGAAGATAAGAGCGAACTCGAAGCCGTTGAAAGTACTTTGATTAAATTGTGGTCGCCAAGTCTCAATACCCGATGTACTGGAGGTAAGAAGACTTCGAAGAAGGGGAAGAGACGGCCGGGGAAGAGGGAACGGAGGAGAAATCAAGGGAACGATGGTGAGGAACGGAGAAAGAAGAAAGAAGGAACGAAGGAACAGGAGATTGGGAAGATCGTGGAGATTCGTAGAGTAGGGGAGGAGAAGGGAACAGTGGGGATTGTACGTCTTCTTAGAGAATTGAGGGAAAAAGCACCGAAAGGAGGAGTCAGGTTGGAAAGTTATGGCGGGAATGTATGGGCGGATGGTTGGAGACTCGTCCGTAGGCTGTTTGGAGAGTCGAGAGTGAAGTGGGGGAGGGGGACTAAACCCTTGAGGAAATGTAAGCGGCTGATTGAGCAGGGTGGCTTGATTACAATCAAAAGGATTACGGAGGCTTCTCCAGCGGTTCTGTACCTTCAAGATCAGATGGTGGGCATGTTTAAGAATCCAGCCCGGAGGAACTCCCTGAAGACTATGAGCATTGGTGCACTGGTAAAGTACTACAGTGCGATTAAAGCTTTCTCTACGAAGCGCAGCCGATCGAAGGCAAGGTGCATGATTTCGAGGGCTATTAGAGAGACGCATGGGTTGAGTGTTAGGCAGCGGATCACGAGCCCTCAGGAATTTCGCAAAGGACAAGAGCGGGTGCTGGAAGATGTTTGCAATTCTGTTGACAGATAGTAGGATCATGAGTTGAGTGTGGTCGCAGTGAGCCTGGCCATAGGGACCAGGGAAGACCCTTGTTCGGCCCAGATGGTCGCTGAGTACTTGGGTTGGCCTTTGTCTGCCGCTGCGCGGTACCTCAGGCTGTGGAGGTTGCTGGACTACGACTCGGACTCAGACCTGGGAGTTACAGAGGTCCAGAGGGTCGATGTTTGGTGTGGTAGGTAGATTGTTTTGTGTGGTTTGTTGTCATGTTCTGTGGGACCAGGGAGGACCCTGTGTGGCCCAGATGGTCGCGGATTGCTTATTTTTTTCGTTCTTCGTTTGCTTTCTCGACCGAGCTATGACTCGAACTTGGGCCGGGGGAGTGAAAGAGGCACTGTGTCGTTGTTTTGCTCGGTTCGTCGGAATTGTCTCTGTTTTGTTGATTTCCTCCATACCTTCAGAGGACTCGGATTCAACCGGTACGACTAATCGGAYGCAGATCTCGAACCGGGTACCTTTGAAGGGGRTGTATGGATSAGTAGGTAATTACCTAGGTAGCAGTCTATTCGCTGACGTACTTGGTCCGAGTATAGGATAGTGGGGACTTACGTAGAGACTACCGGTGTTGATGTAAATGATGATGTCAAGTCGTGGTACTAGTTGGGATAGAAAATGGATAGTTGCATAAAAGTAGAATTTGCAATTTTTTCGGTCCTTTCGTCCTTTTGGACATCTCCGCGACTATGGACCGTGGGGCGTGCTGCCAGTTGCTTTGCGATTGGGAGACCTCTGTGGGGACTGTTAGTCGCCGACGTCACTGAGCTTCACTCTGGGTTGACCACCGGGTTTCCCTTGGAGTTGACGACTTCGTGTTTTAATGTGTTGTACAGCTTTTGACTTGTCTCCGTCTTGTGATTGGTCAGTTTGACTTGGCTCCGTTGTGTGATTGGTCAGTGTGCTGTGTGCTGCCAAGTGCATTCGTGTGCTATGTGCTGCCAAATGTATTCATTGTACTTCCAGGTACTGGTGGTTTAAGAGTTGCAAGGGATAATCTCCAATCCAACGGGCAGAAGAGCTTTTCGCTGAAGTTTTGGGATCAAAATACCCCCTGTTGTTGCCCTCTCGACTGTGTGTGACTTACTCGGATCTCGATAGACCCGTTCAAGGAGTCCAACCTGAAGTCCGTCTCATATTCTAGTTCCTTTGTGAAAGTGAAATCCTCGCTCCTAACCCATTCTTCTGGAGCAAAACCTTCTTGACCCAATGAAGCCGAAACATGGATGATTGTGTTCTCCTGTTGTGGGACGGTCTTCCTACACCACAGCCCGTCTGAAGACTGAAGGGTATCACTGTTTCCCTGCGCATGTGAAACCACGAAGCTGCCAGTGGACCAGAACGCGAGTGTCAGTCCTCTGATGAGCTGGTGAAACTCTCTTGCTCTCGAGGGTATGGCTGTAATTATGGACAGAAGGCTTTCAGGAACTGATCTGAGCCTACCCAGACAGAGTTTCAGTTCTTCAACCGATTTCCAAGTTGACCATTGTCTGTTGCAGTCCCACAGGTCTCAGACTGCAACTCTTAGTCTCTTACTACTCCGCTCTGTACCCAGGTTAGTCCAAAGGCGGAACGCTCTTCGCTTAGAGCGCCAGTCACATGCAGATCTTCGGGCTCCGGTCACAAGGCATACTCACACTACCACTTTTCTACTTATTTCTCAGACTGCAGGTAATTGCGGTCAGATACATGCAAGTGGGGCCGTAGTTATGATCACATGCCACGTGTGAATATGGTCACAGACAGACCTCCACAGCGGATGATGTCAAATCGTCCGTAATTCTCTTTTATTCTTTCTTTTTTTACTTTTTGCCAAAATGGAGTCCTGCCATGTCAAGTTGATTCAAGTTCGCGCATTGTTCTCTAATTTTATAAATATTTGAGCTGAGAGAACAAACACTTGACATCATGGAGGAGGCAGTCTGTACTTTTATCAGCCTCGGACCTCCTCCATGCATCCACGGATTCGAACCAGCAACCTCAGCCTCAAGAGCCGAGTTTTTTTTAACCACTACAACCATGGCACCTTGTACCAGTGAGAGGAAAATATATATGGCGTGTACGGTGTACCCGTGAGAGAAAAATATATATGGCTGTGTCCCTATGAGGAGAAAACAGCTTTAAAAAAAAAAAAAAATCAATAAATGGCCCCTTTTTTTTTTCTTTTTTTTTTTTCACAAGTTCGATGGCTCCGGTCTATTTGTGGGGAGCTGCACCTGCTGGAAAAGGGGTCCAAGACTCCAAGCTTTTCATTTTTGGGGGAAACAAATGTGTCTATTGTACATCAATCCTGTCGTCAAGGTGTCACTTTCACTCGATGCCCAGTCAGCAGCCACGTAGAGTAGAGGTGTCTCTTCCCCTCCATCCTCAGTCATCATCTACTCGCAGATGAAACCAAAAAAAAGGGG